TCTTCTCTCTCTTAATATAAAACACACACACCTCCCGCAGGAATACAAAGCCTTTGCCAGCTAGACTGTGGGTTTCCATGGCAACAGAGTCCGGGATAGGGTAGACGTGGAGAAAATGGCCTTTTTGTCCATGACAAGAGGAGTTTTTGGCCAGACACATGGCAAGGCAAATGTTTTCATATTTCGCTCAGAAGACCATGAAAAAGACGGGGAAAGACTGCCGGTTCCTCGAAAACTAAAAAAAAATATTGTGAGGAAACACAAAATTCCTTCACTGCACATGTGGGAGGAACTAGCACTGCCCTCAAATTGAAAATGACAGTAGAGCTGTTGGGCAGAACGCTACCCCTTGCTCTTAGCTTAATGAACATTTTGAGGGATACCAAAGCAACAACAGGAAACAGCAATTTTTACTCACGAAACACGTTTATGCTGTGAGAGAAAAAGGAAGAAGCCTTTGCCTCCAACACCATAATTTGCTGATTGCTCAAGAGGAGTTTAAGTCTTTGGGCGTGCTCTATGATTATGCTTATGCCCTTCAGCCTCCAAAACCACGCATAAAAACCCTAGGCTGGACTTATCAATTAAACCTGACCACACATGATCTAGCTACAGAGATTTCAGACGCTTAGCACAGTGAACACAAGTGAACCCTTGTCTTTCAAAAAGGACAATCTGTGGCTTTGCATGCCTCGTTTTAATGTCTCCCCAGGGTGCAACGGAGCCGAAAACATTCCTGTTGCCTAAAGATTTGAGAGCCGAGGGGGAAAGGAGGGGGAAGACATGGAACCAAGGGCTTCTGGGCCTGTTTGCACTCTTTGGTGAGATTTAACAAGTTTGTGCTAGGCTAGCAGGTGCTTCAGCGCAGCATGAGTCAGCTGGACAAGTGAAGGTGTTTACGAGACAGTTGTCCTTTAATCAAATAAAATCTTTTATGTTCTTCCCGGAGGCTCCAGACAGAGTGTAACAATGTGTGCTGAACTCACAGTATTAGTGCATGTGTAGCTTCTTTCACATCGATAAAGCCAGACTGATCTTTTGCACTCAAACATAATAAATTAGAAATACATTATACATTATACTTCTGTCTATGTCCCTGTGTTTATGCGACTGATGTTTGGGATATATTTGTTTGGTACATGACTTTTGCTATGGGCGTGGCCCACAGTTAGCCGGATTACAGCTAAGAACAATAAGACAATAATAAAATAACATGCAGTGCAGACAAAACCGTGTTTGATGTCAATTGTTTGACAATGTGCGCTCCAATGGATTTTTTTCTCCACATTAAAGTTTAAATTTAAGTTTCGCCTTTAACATTTCAGCTGCTTCTGTTGATGTTGTGGTCAGCGATGTAAAGGATCAGACTGAGAAAATACAGCTGAGAGAGATCTGAACCACATGCTTTAAACCTCTGTTTTATTTGTTTTCACCCACATTTGTTTCTCATTTTCAGATAGGATGCACGCAGAGTAACATGTTTCTTCCCAACTCAACTCACTGGGAGGATGAGCAAAGACCAGGATAGATTACGTTGAGAGCAGGGACACAGCTGTATCTACAAATTGCTCAGGATATTTTCTGTTTATTGTAAATGACGATGAGATATGTCCTCAGTGCCTATAGACTTCCCTATACTTTGACACAGCACAACATTACCAAAAGGCTGCTCTGTTGACAAACTATAGTTCTGACTGAGAACCCAAAACCCCCAACCTTCATGTGATGCAACATCTACAATTAGTAACAGCAGTTTCAAAATGACAACCGTATTTGGTTAGCTTGTCATAGCTTGCAATATGCAATAGATCGAAAGCAAAACATGTCCAACCTTCACTAAGCCTGTCTCTGAAAAGTTGCTTTGTAGTACGCAGGTTAGACTTAAACCAGATGTATAATATGAAAATCATAAAAACAATATCATTCAGACACACTGAATATCATGGATAACATCCATTCAAAGTCATACAAAGAGAATTTAATACCTTTTTAAATATCAAGATCGAAACCCAAGTATACAAATACCGATGCTCTGGTCTCTTGTCCATCAATCATCGAGGTATACAGCTGATTGACAGCCTTTTAATCCCACAGTAACATAAGACTGCGGAGAAAAGGGATTGTGAAGTCGCTCTGAAGGGGGTCCTGGCCTCTTGGCATTGTGTGTGAATGGATAGTATACCCCCTCCCCCACTCGCAGCATTGAAAAGGTACATGATCTACCTATGGCTGTCGGAGCTGTCCTGACCTGTTCGCTCTCCCGCAGACCGGCTCGGTTTCTGCGGTCCTGTGTCCCGGTGTCACATGAGAACACCGGCAACACTGGGCACTGCGCGTTAACTACTGGGAGAACGGGACAACGTCTGCAAACATATTTCTGATTTTGTGATTCACAGGGTTGTTCTAAACTGGCTTGAGACAGCACACAACCTAAGTTACCCTACCACGCAACAACAGCCTCCTTGAATACTGATTGAAGTACTGTTTAATGCAGGGTTGATAAATGACCCATCCTTTTGCAGGTGAGCGTGCGTGTATTTGTGAGAAAGGGAGGAAGAGAGAGAGTCCACAGGTGCAACGTGAGCCCTTTCACACCGACTCACGACTCCTTTGTGTCTGAAAGTGAATTTGTTCTCACAAATTGTCTCGACGCTTACTCTGTAACACTTACTCAGAGAGACAACAGAATGTGCTCAGAGCCAGGATGGGATAGATTTACCCTGCCCAAAATCTGAATCTGTTTCAAAACAATGTCTAAAATAAAATGAAATGCTACATTTACAGCACACTAACAGTGTGTCATTTTAGCTCACAGAGGACCTAATATAGAAAGAGTAAATGAGAATGAGGATTCTGAAAACATCACAGTGCTGCTAATACACATCTGTCTTCTCTTCTCTCTCTTAATATAAAACAGGTTCTCAAGGACAGCTGTGTTTCTAATCTGCCTGGAATGGAGGTGGACAGAGAGAGAAAAAGAAGAAAGAGAAGAAACAGAGAGGTAAGGGAAGATGGTTTTTGGAGACGGAGATGAAGTTGGAAGCCAGCAGGGGAAAAATGTGAAGAGTAAAGACAGTGGACATTTCACAGTGAAATGTTAACAGCTAAGAATAGGATCCCTGTGCGTGTTGTCCAGGACCAGCAGAGTCTGGAAAGTATTTTATGAAAACACACTTCTGGAAAACAAATTAGGCTGACTAAGTGAATGAAAATAAGGAAGGAAGTGTGTGTGTGTGTGTGTGTAAAAAGAGCGTGTGCATGCATGAATATGTGTATGTATTGTATCTTTGTGAGCGTAAAAGGTCAATGTAAAACAACAAACAACTGAGGCATAAAAATGAATGCTTTATTACAAAAAAAGTATAATAGAACAAACGTGACTGAGACTGAAATGGCTTGTGAGCAACTTCTGATATGCAGCCCGTCTCAGGTCTAAGGTGCTCTGGTCTGTTGCCATTCTTATGAAAAGCTCCTGCAGGTTGCTGCTGTCACGGGAATATGAGCAGAGTCGGGCTGGAAAAATAACTCTTTTATTTTTGGCCCTGTACCATCCAGCAGATTATCACTTGAGTTAAGAGGGTTGACCTCTGGTAAACCTAGCTGGCTAAAGTCCCTATACAGCAGGGGTTTTTATAGTTGGGGTGGAAAAGGAAAGTGATTTCGGGGTGTGCAGGATCCGGGGCCATATCTTGGTGATCACATACAAGGTGAACAGAAGAATGTAGACACAGCTACTTCAGGTATACAGTGAAAACAACACTGCCTTATAATGCACATCCATGTAGTTTCGAGGTAGTGCTGCTCCGAGCAAATGGTTAACTTCTGCAGTAACTATAAATCAGTCCACATGCCGTAAGCAATTACTAGCGAGCTCTGCAACACCTCACCTTTACTCACATACGGCAAAAGACATTTGCTGCTGATTTTAATTCCATTTTGTTAACACCTGAGCACGTTTAATGAAGCAATAAAGACTTTTTGATCTCATCTACACAACAGTTCATGGAGGATCCCGGTCCACTTTTGTGTGCTTAGGTTAGTTTTGTAACAGCAGATGTTTTACCATATCAAAGGCAAAGCACCTGCTGTCACATTCCTGGTCCAGGTGTGGTAAAAGTGCAATATGGAAAATTCAAACCACAGAAAACAATGACTGCAGCAGCAGTTTTATGCCTCAGTGTTAATATTTCATCTGATCTTGAAGCAGCCTGGCAGTTGTCTATTGAGGTTTGTGCTATATTATTTAGTGCCTTTACACATTTCTTGTGTCTGACTGGCTGATCTGAAACCTATTTATTGGTACAGTAACTTGAATCATTCTTTTTTTATTTAGTCAATCCAGACATGTGGATTTGTCAAACATGGAAGATGCGTGTTTTTCTCAAAAAGGTGGCTTCAGGGCCGTAAGAAGTGATGTATTGATCATCATATTAACGAAGCCAGCGATGTCCTCACATATTTAAAATATAGATATCTCTAAGCGTTAGCTCCAAAAAGCACAATCTTACCTGGCAGGCAGCGTAATCCAAACACATCTCGACTCCTTGCGTTCACCCCACTCTGACTCAGCATCCTCTCCTGTAAGAGAAACACAGAAGACATTTAATCCTTCTTATTTTCAAAGCGACTTATTTGACATATTACTGTAACGGACTGGAACTTTCTTTTGCTTAAGGGAATACTTCTAAAATGTTCATTTTCTTGCTGTGGATTAGATGAGAAGATCAGTCTTTACGCTAAGCTAAGCTAAGCTAAGCTAAGCTAAGCTAAGCTAACCAGCTGCTGAATGTAGTAATAAATATAACGGACAGACATCAATCTTCTCATTTAACTCCGAGCAAGAAATAAAATAAGCACATTTACCAAAAAACCTTTGAATGAAAGTAACAGAAAAATGTAAAAATGCAAAATGTTGTTCACTACACTTCACAAGAACTTAAATACCCTGACAGATGAAAGTGTTCCTATGAAAGGAATAATGCTCTTTGTACTTCTAACCTATGGCCACAGGCTCTTTAATTTGTTTAGGCAAGAATCAGACTAAACAGAGCACACTAAACACATGGACAGAGCCTTATGTCACCTTTGGTCTCGCTCATTATATTTAAATGATGTCTCTGCCTGCTTCTCTCATCTGGCTCGTCTCAATGGACTCATTTTCAAAGACAAAAGAAACAAAGCCAAACCACACAATGCTCCATGATTCTTAGTTTCCATTTTGCTGTTTGTTTCTGCTCTCCCTATAGTAGTAATGAAGTCTCACATACTTGGGTCTGTTCTACAAGCAGATTCCAACCCCACAGAGCCACAGAGGTTTCTATAATCAGACTACGAGCTTACGAGCACATATGCTTCCACTTAACTTTGCTACTAACCCCCCTTTGTGAAGGGCATTTACATTTATCGGCTTCAAATCCCATAATATGCGGAGGATTTGCAATGTGAGAGGATGATATGATTATACAGGTGGCGAACGAGCTTTATAGTAGAACAGAAATAGAGTTAAGGCCCCGAGTGGACACCCAAGAACACTAGGAGAGCGTCAAACCTCTTTCTCAGCAATTCCGAGTTTGGTCCACAATGAAGCTATTAATCAGCACCAGCTCTATCACAAAACACCGGTACTTTTTGGAGTCAGCAAGGATGTGTGAACAATAACAATGAATCCACTCAGTCGCCAATGTTATGCTAACAATTTTGCAGTGTGGTGAATTCTGTTAGCGGCCTGCTCATGAAAAACCTGAGACTGTAAGTGTGGCGCTCCATAAAAAAACCAGGGAACGTTTAACAAAGAGGACTTTTGCTCCTTGAAAAGGTAGTAAAGTCACACTTATTCATAGCTGGTTGTGAGAGTGCCTGGCTGTTCTCGAACAAACACCCTTAGATTCTCCTTTAGATGGAGCATTGCTATATCTTTGAAACTTTTTTTTCCAGATTTGCCGAGTTCGTCATTTTTTTGACGGCATATGTACGATGCAAATATTTCGTATATAGTGTAAACTGTTAACCAAACATATTCACAATTTGTTTCAAAACTAACAAAACAGTAGAAGTTAAAAAAAGAAGAAAGAAAACCTTACTGATTTGCTAATTAAGTAAACTCAGGCTAAGTGAGCCATGAACGCATTAATAGAGACAAAGAATGGTTTTAATCAATCCAAATAATATGAGCACTAATTCATGTCATATGGGCCGGTTTGCTCTGCTGCAATATCTTTCTATAAAATGGTTCTATACTGCCAACGCCGACATCTGGTAAAAAACTCCAGGGACTAACCAATAGCAGTGAGAGTTCTCCCTAACCTACATTTTCTATGTGTTCTTTACAAGACAAAATGTGGTTATAGTTCAAACTATTTCACTGGTTGAATTAAAAACCCTGTGTTGACAAAACTTTTTTTATGATAAGGCAGGACACTACCATTTTACAAGACTTAGTTTCTGCTTGCCAGAGCATTGTTCTTTTTTATCCCATCTGGCTTTAAAATGTCTTGTGTTTTCGCTCCATCGACACCCACTGAAAACCCGCAGCTGAATTCCTTATGGCCTTTTAAGAACATCAGAGGCTATTCAGATCTTGTGTTGTTATTCCTTTCATAGGTCTAGTGTCTTAGATCTGTCCTCTGAAGGTTGTTGAGACTGACAAACTTGGGCGTCGGGGTCTTGTGAGGCACGAAAACTCACTAGATAACACTGCATTTCACAAGGTGAAACTGGCACTGCAGACTGGGCTATGTCAATAACACGATAAGGGCGATACGAGTTGAACTCCCTCGGTTTAACTAGCAAAACCTTGATTTGTGCACGCAATCAACGGCAGTCAGAAAGATCTGCAGCGAAGGCATTTCTATGTAAAATGGAAGCATTTCTGCTTTACGTGCAACTTTTGCACCTTAAGGGTAAAAAAGGCAACACATAATGGAAGCAACATAAGGTCTAGGTGATAACTTAAAGATGCTGTGGCCAAAGTAAGGCCGCTCTCGTCACATATCACTCAAAACCCACATGTCGCGGGAAGTGTTTAAGCTGACGTTTCACTTTTCACTGTGCGGTTTCAGCGTCCCAACTCTATCACTTTCATTGCCTCCTTCTCCCCCGTGCTGCCTCTCTGCCCCACTTTTGCCCTCCTCTGCTCCCTCCCTTCATCCTCAGGGACAGTGGCCAAGGCTTATTGCAGTTTCCATTGCTCATGGCTTCCCCTCGCTACTGCAGACAGACTTCTGCAGTAAGCCTGCTTGTTCCTGAGACTGGAACATACTTCTCTTTCCTTAAAAACAAGCTAGAGTCACAAGGAAAGAGAACTAATGGAAACAAATAAAATGCACTGCTGGTGCATCTTGGTCTCTAAAAATGAAATCCTATCTTCTATCATTCTTAAAACCTAACTTACGTGGGTGTGTGTGGTGACCCAAAGCACACCGTGGACCTTCAGCATCTGTTGTTATGACGAACAATTCTCTTTTGAAAGCTGTTCCTACTGAGATACGCTCTGCTTGGGGGTTGTAAAACACACATTAGCTTTTAGCCACTGTCCACTGTACATGAAAGGGTCACACAGCCCGTTCATTTGCATTGTGCTTCTCATTTCCTCACATGAATGGGGACAGTCATTTGGCATTGTGAACTGGCTTGGAAGAAAAATAAGGAGATGAGGTAGTTTTGCTAAAAAGGGCTCACTTTGAAGTGTTTCCTCTTATTCCATTCAGAATAACAGACTTTTTTTTGGTCTCCATAAATAAAATGGACTGAGAACTCTTCATTTGAATCATCGCATCTTTCCTTTAGTTCCTTGTCTTTCCTTTAGTTCCTTGTCTTTCCTTCAGAAGCAGAACTGTAATGATATACTGTAGGGGCTATAATAGAAACAGAGGCTCTGATCTTACATATATTAATGCAGTGAAAGCAAAAGAGAAAAAACTGCAGTTCACAGCAGAATGAGGTCCTCAGTGGAAATATACGACTTAGTGTAGTGTATTAAAAAAACAAACTGGATTCCAGGTAAAGCTGTGTTTTTAAGACAGAAATTCAGGAATGCTAATAACTGATTAGTAATCCATGAATAAAAAAAAGCTTTTATACTCTTTACTCAAGTATATTTTGGAGCTATCTTTTCACGTTGTATTCATAGCTTAATTACAACTCTGGTCTGAACGCGGGGACTGAATGTGCTGGAAGAAAAAAATAAAGACCACCTGTCTTTTGACCACAATATGTTGATGACAGAACAAAACCCAGAACAAGAGGCAGAAAAACACTTTTAACGTCTCCTGTTCTAACCTCTGCAAGCACATTGAAACAAGTTGCACATACTGTAAGTGAAGATGTAGTTAGCTAACGTTATCTATGCAAATCTTTCACGTGTTACATTAATCTTTGATGTTATAATAATGCCATTCATTCATGCAGCTGGTGATCTGTAGGTTTTTTTTTTAATTGGTGTAAAACTTCAACATTACTGTCATAATTGCAGTAATAATCGTACTTTAAAACATATTAAAATGGCAAGTAAAGTTGTTATGTTAACATATAGGGTAAAGTAACCAATCAATGTTTCATGAATTGGGAATTCAGATGGTTCATATTTAATGTGAGAATATCTGCATATGGATATCCAACTTTTTAACCCATTTCTCAGCCTGTAGCAATTAGCAGAGCCCTCCCCGCTGTAACGTTTCATTCTGGAAACCTTCCATGAATGTCTGGCAACGAGGGACAGCCTGCATTCTTACCCGTTCTTCATCATAACACCATCAGTCTACACTTCTAGACACACAAAAGAACAGATAATTACTGGCTCATTTAATGGTATCCCTGCTGAATGATTTACAATTCATTGTCTCAGAACATATTTGTGTCAACATCACCCCCTTCCTCTTACTGCTAAATTGCTCAGTGCTGACAGGGAATTGAACTTCTGTTTGTACAGTTGGTGACTCACTGTAGGATCAACACAGGGAGATTCAAAGGTTATCTAAAGCGTATTATAGTAGAGGTTTAACAAGACTACGAATCAAAAATCTCATCCATTCTTTATTGTACTCTACTGTGTTCTGTCCAGATCAGCCTGCTAGTGTTGCAGCGCTGCTCTCCTTAATTACAGCCGAGCTCCACAGTGAGCGTATTCTGCTGCATGTGAGAGCCAGAGAGTGCAAATTAGACTGTGAATGTGAAGAGAAAAAAAAGATTTGGCTACACACCGGTGACTGACTCGGCTCTGACTGCAGGTTTGCCAAATTCGCTAAGCTCCTACGATAATGAATCCGTTATCTCTCCTCTCTCTTTCTCAGCAAAGGGCTGTGCATGGAACATTCAACTAGCAGCTCCTCCGTCGCTTTCGCCGTTCGTAGTGACAAACGTCGCAGGCGGCAGGTCGTGAATGAATGTGAAAGCCGTGAAATTAAAATGGTAGCATTAAAAAACATCAAGCAACAAAGATAGCAGTGCAGCTTACTGACCTGTTCCCATTAGCCTACATTCACAAATCATACAGCGTTTGATTTGACAGCCATTTCATCAGTCACTATACTGCCTGTCAGAGGAGCCCTGACATATCGCTTTTTCCAGGATCCTTCTTTTTAAAGGCCGGGAGGGTTGCCTAGTGGCTAGACGTCACATGTCTGACGCCCACAACAGGCAGTGTGTCCATCAACAGCAGCGTTTCCCTCGTCTCGGTCTCTGGAGCGCACTCTAAAACCCCTTACGTTCTCGCTAACAGTACATCAATTCAGATGAGTGTCAGCTAAATGGCTTAAGTGAAAATCAAATGTTGAACATTGTACATTCTCTGTGGCTCATAATCGTCTCTCGTACGAAAATGTCGTTTTTTTTGACAGCTCGGGCCCCTTGAGGGAGATTATCAGAGCCATTCCATAGACTCAAAACAGACAAACAGGCTAGCCTCTCAGTCCTCCTCAGTCCTTCCACCAGTGAATAGTGCCACTGGTTAATTATCACCCAATGCCGGATCGATACACCCTCTAACAGGACCATAAATCTGCTCTGGCGTGAAGTAGAGCCCGTTGTTGTGCTCTGAAGTCTCGGCAGCTCAGAGACTGGCAGTGAATGTGACGTGTGGGTCCTATGGGAGAGGGTGTGGGTTACTATACTGCTTTGGCCCACTCCTATCAGGCTTGGATCTTCAGCCTCTTTGAATAGAGCTCAGATGATCCCTCCTCTGGCATTTTTGCTTCTGTGGAGCTTTGTGCTGTGTGCCTTTCATGCTGACTGCTTCAAAGCTGGCTGGGAGATGCAGATAGAGGGAACTCAAGGGGATAGGCGCAGCTAAAATAAGCCTGAATAAGCCTGCTCTCCTGTCAAGAGGCAGGCCTGAGCATCCTTATGAAGCACGTCCATGCTGCTGTATCCGTCGTGTTTGACATTTCCTATTTTTTCTTAATCTGATGTGAGGGTAAACTAGAAACTAGATTTTGGACTTTTAGTCGTAAACCAAGCAATATGAAAAGGGCACCTTTGGCTTTAGGATGTGATTGTTTTCACTGTTTGTCTGACTGTAACACAAGTAATTAAACAACTTATCAAGACAGTAATCTCTAAATTAAATGCTAATAAAAAATAATCATTAGTTGCAGCCCAGTCACAGTTTATGCCATCCCAAATGTCTTGTGTGTTGGACCCTGATTACAGGAGAGAACATGCAAACTGTAAAGCCATCTGGTCCAAATTCAGCCCAGTGCTGGGTTCAGTTTTCTAAAGCAGTCTTAACACATGCACATGGAAGAGAAAACCCACAAGAGTGTGTGGGTGGCCTGTGCATATAATCTACACAGCCTACTACTCCACATTACCATATCTCAGGCTCAGCCACATTCTCATACTCGGACACACAGGATTCGACTGGTGGGTGTCTGCGACGAATCCTGCGCGTCTCAATCAGAGGTAATCGAATTCAAAACTCCTCGACCTCCCGACGGCTGTCTCCATGGTGACAGCCAGATGTTGTGCAGTGCACAGTCACCCCCCACTCCACATGCGAGCCTCGCCCGAGGGCAGAGCAAAGAGGCATCTGTTACCGTTTCCCCCTGCGGCTGCTGGAAATAACCAGGGAGAGACAAAAAGCCAGGCAACACAAAGACGGGGGCCAAGAGACTGCTCCCATAGGAATGAGCCACACATTCATACTATGTGTACACACTGCGAGGCCCTTCTATCCTCCACGCTCTCGGGGGCTCCTTACAGCGTCTTACTGATCATTTCAAATACAGTAGCAGCAAAAAAAAGAATTTCATCTTCGGGGGCATTTTAAAAGCAGTTTGTTTAAGCATCGTGTGACCTTTGAAGGATTTGGCAATAAAAGCAGCTGAAACCGTTCAGAGCTGTTCTCAGAAGATGATGACTGTCTGCACCATTTGTATCTGTGCACAACAACTTAATCCCATATGAGACAAACCCCCCCGCCAGGAGAAGTGATTAAGATTCACCACCACTTCACTGGCCTTTAATCAGGCATGCAGCCAAAGACAGTGACATTATGTACCCTTACAGTAATTATGTATCTCCCTGTTGTCCAGACAGGAGGAAACAGCGGCCCTATGCAGCCCAGTCCCCTCCCTTATGAAGCTGTCACCCTGAGTGGCGAACAGAAATATCATGAGACAGTCCACATTCATACACTGAATAGACTCTCTGAGGTTTCTAATCCGAGCAAACTAACCTGGATGTGCATTTGATAGCTCTGCGTCGTGCTTTTCTGGCCTCTCTGGTGTTAAATCACATGAGTGTTTGATGAGTTATGGCACTGAGGAAGCAGAACCTGCCTCAACTCAAACCTTCATCTGATTTAATGTTGAATTGGTAAATCAAAATTGAACTGATATGTATACAACCCACACTCTTTATACTGAAGCTTTTGCTCTATAGTGGCATAATCCCAGAGCATTACAGATGAAAACACTAGAGGTCAAATGACTATTAAAAACAAAAACAAGCACAGAAATGAATGTGCATTAGATAAATAAGATACCAGGAAAGCTCATTTAACATTAGACTCATACTGAGGGTTTTTAATGTCCATATTATACCTCAGTGTCCAGTTAAAAACAAGTTAATGCTAGAGCAAGTTACAAGTCTCTTAACTCAACAAAGCTTCTAGTCAGATAACCTTACCTTGATGTCCGGGAGCATTTGTCTCACTTTGAACGTGGTTTTAGATCCTGTCAACATTTTGGACGACTCGACTTAAAAACAGCAAGAAAGAGACGAGCGAAATAAAAACCGACTGAGTTAATAAAAAAAAAAATAATGTTGTTATTATAAGCTGACGGTGGCTGGGGGGTTTTAGTGTTCTCCTCTTCCCATTTTTTTATAGCCGAGAGAAAAAACCCCGTCAGGAAAAGAGAGGAAAGGTCCGGAGTCCGGTAACGGTTAGCCTGTATCACCGGCTGCTGCTGCTACAACTGAGCTGTTCCAAACTATTTTCCCTGTTTTCATCGCTATTCGCACTGACAGCATCCACACACACACAGAAAACAACGAGAGCACAACCCCCTGCCGAAACCCGACGTTACCCACCGGTCACCGGACCATTACGAACCGCTGTTAGTCACTAACGGGGGAGAGATGCGTTCACCGTTACTGCTGCTTTCCTAAACCATTGAGCTCTGTTTGTTTACCCCTTCGCCATAGTGAAACACAGTGGTGGAAAAAAAAAAAAAATAGAAGCTCAGTGCAGCAGTGGAGTTTCTTAAAGGGGCCAGTACATCTGGAGCATGAAGCCTGGAGAGTCTGTGAAAAAAGTCCGCAGGAAGTTTTTCTTTTAACGCACTAAGACGTTGAGTATCGTCACTGAAGGTACAAAGAGTGTCAGTTTCTCCCCGCTTTCACTGCACCCCTTGAACTCACCACCCCTCAACAATGGCTTTTACACAGTGGTGGAAGAAATATCCCAATAATACAAAATGAAAATAAACAAATAAAAGTACAGTATAAAGTATTATTATCACGTATTAAATGTTATTATCATCAACATAGTATAACATGTATTTATATTTATTTTGTGATATATTGTTGTACCTCCACTTCTGTGCTCTTTCTTTTGCACTACATTGC